TATATATATATATATATATATATATATATAATGAGAAAAAAAGGGATTATAATGGTCCTATTAGGACATTACTAAAAAAATAAAAAATAAAGTAAAACATGGTATTGTTATTCATTTTTATTATTTGAAACACTATTTACACACTCACATATTACTATTCACACATTTACAAATCACTATTCATTTTACTATTTATGTCATTTTTAAGCACTTTGGTCCTCAATTTTTTTATACTTATTTTTTTCAATTTCAAAATTTAATTGTATTATGATCTGATCTCATTTTATTTTAATATTTTTTAATTATTTTTATTATTTAAAATTGACTACTTTAATTTGTCATTTAATTTTTTTTTAATTTCAAACTTTAATTATATTGTGATTTGGTCTCATTTTATTTTAGTATTTTTTTTTCAATTATGTTTATTATTTAAAATTTACTATCTTATTTTTTCATTTTTTAGAAATTCTTATATAATTAATTTAAAATTATATTTACTAATATTTTTTATTTATTTTTCTATATGTATGGATTTTGAAATAAATATTTAGAACATGATTATTTTTTCTTTTGAAAAATAGATTTAAATAATTTTTAAATTATAGTGGCATGATTAATATATATAATTTTTCTAAAATACATTTCAGATTAAAAGTGTATTTCAAATAATTTTTTCTCAGCTTTTTTATATTATTTTAAATTTAGGACATTAATTTATCATTTTTTTTAAATTCTCTTTTTTTTTTTCAATTTCAAACTTTGATTATAATGTGATTTGGTCCCATTTTTTTTTAATATTTTTATTAATTAAAAGTTACTACTTTAATTTATCATTTTTTTTAATTTTCATCTAATTAATTTAAAATTATATTTATCGATGGTTTTGATTTATTTTTCTATATGTATGGATTTTGAAATAAAATTTTAGAACATGATTATTATTTTAAAAAAAATAGATTTAGATCATTTTTAAATTATAGTGGCATGATTAACATTTATAATTTGTCCGAGATACGTTTTTAGATTAAAAGAGTTTTTCAAATAATTTTTTGTCAATTTTTTTTATGTTATTTAAAACTTACTAATTAATTTGTCATTTTTTTTTAAATTCCTGATTTTTTTAAATTTCAAACTTTGATTATATTGTGATTTGGTCTCATTTTGCTTTAGTGTTTTTTGTTAATTATTTTTATTATTTAAAATTTACTACTTTAATTTGTCATTTTTAAAAAAAATTCTCATCCAATTAATTTAAAATTATATTTATTGACAATTTTGATTTATTTTTCTATATGTATGGATTTTGGAATAAATGTTTATAACATGGTTATTTTTTCTTTTGAAAAATAGATTTAGATAAATTTTAAGTTATAGTGGCATGATTAATATATATAATTTGTCTAAAATATATTTCAAATAATTTTTCTTGGTCTTTTTATAGCAAAAAAAAAAATCAAATTAATTAATTAATAGTTGAAAGTCAAATTAATATATTTTTTATTTTAATATTATTCATTCTTTTGTAAATAAATATATAAAAATTAAATTCATATTTTTTCAAAACCCGATATTTTAATCAACATTAAATAAAAAAATTATTTGTCCAATTTTAGATAAGCTTTTAATAATTTTTATTTATGTTTTTCGACACAATCTTATGAAATACTAAAAAAAAATTTAAAAAAAATTATTTAATTTTCTTTTTAGTTAATAATCCATTGATTAATAAGGATAAATCCTTTTTTTTTCTGAAAAAAAATTATGAAAAAACACAAATAAGAAATATTTAAATACAATTTTTTATTAAAAAATTATAAATAATTTTTTTCACATTTGATTTCATATATTTTTATAGATTCATATCATAAAATAGACTATTAAACTGAAATGATTTTTTTAAATAATTTTATATATTTTATCCAATCCGCAATGACAGCGTGAGAAAAAAAACTAATCTAATAGCTAAAGAAAAGGGATTTGTAATCCCCTTGTTGTTTTTGGACAAGTAAAGACTTGTCTAATGGCTAAAGAAAAAGGGAATATAATCCCTTGTCTTTTTAGGACAAGTAAAGAAAAAAGACCTTTTTTTCTTTACTTGTGTCTTTACTTACAAGTAAGGAAAAAAGGCCATTTTTTCTCTCGATAAGTCTTTAGACCTTGTATGAAAGAACAAGGGGATATATAATCCCCTTTCCCCTTCCTCAGTCCTCCCTCTCTTGCTTACCGTCCGGCCACCAATCCTAACGAAAAAAAAAAAAAAAAGAAAGAGAGAGAAGCGATCTACATAAACAACCTTGTAGAATGACAGCCCAACATAATATACCTTGTGTAAAATGCATCTCAAGATTACATTATCAAGTGATGACTTCATCATGTATTTGAGTGGACTATAATTATCTAACTTTTAAGGATAATCAATCATATTTTTTAGTGGGTAGATTATGTTTTGTGGCTTTGCTGATGTTCTAAAAATTATAAATTGATGTCAAAAGAATTTTTTTTAACAAAAAAAAGACAGAAGCACAAGTTATTCAACAAAATGAAAATCATTCATAAATAAAGAAAATATACAGAACTCATTGCGTTTTGCAAAAATCCTCAATAAAATCTAACTAAACATTTAAAAACGCAGCATGTAAACTCTTAATAGGCATCAGCTTAGGCTAAAAAAAAAAAAAAAAAAAAAAGAACAGCGTCCAATGAATAAAGGAGTCAAACAATCAAGAAATTTGGTGGGAGAAAAATAACGGCCAAATGTCCTGCCTTTTCCTCAAATGTCCTTCCTTTTCCTCAAATGCCCTAAGATGTCCTGCCATTTCACAAATGCTGCTTCACACGTCATGAAATGTCCTGTCTTTTTCCTCGAATGTCGTGCTACTTTCACTGTTCTTGCAACAGTGTTTTTCCTTGACTCTTTGCTGAATCAGCGAACTATATATATGTCTAAAATCCGCTTGCCACTTCCTCAGTCCTCCCTCTCTCTCGGTTACCGTCTGGCCACCAGTCCTCTTGAATCTCCCTTTCTTGTTCAAGGTAAGGGTTGGAATCTAAGTTTGATGTTTACTGGTGTGGGTTTGAATGTTTGGTTGCTTTGATTTTGGATCTGATGAATAATTTGCTTATCGGAATTCAATGTTGGGTATGTATGTATGTATAAACAAATAACCCTAATTGAAATCCTGTTTCCCCTTCCTCAGTCCTCCCTCTCTCTCGCTTACTGTCCGGCCACCACTCCTCTTACATCTCCGTTCCTTGTTCAAGGTAAGGACTGAAAATCCAAGTTTGATGTTTACTGATGTGGGTTTGAATGTTTTGGCTGCTTTGATTTTGGATCTGATGAATATTTAGCTTATTGGAATTCGATGTTGGGTATGTATGTATATATAAACAAAATAACCCTAATTGAAATCCCGTTTCCCCTTCCTCAGTCCTCCCTCTCTCTCGCTTACCGTCCGGCCACCACTCCTCTTACATCTCCGTTCCTTGTTCAAGGTAAGGGCTGAAAATCCAAGTTTGATGTTTACTGGTGTGGGTTTGAATGTTTTGGTTGCTTTGATTTTGGATCTGATGAATATTTTGCTTCTTGGAATTCAATGTTGGGGTTGCATACTAAATCCCTGCTTGCTCAATTTTGAACATTTGAATTCCTTGAATCTGAGCAACAATATCTTAAAAGCAAGATAGTTAAATATTTTTTAGGGTCAACTGCCCATACAAAGTACTTGAAATAACGTTAAGGTCTAATGTAGTGATTTCATTGGAATTGGAATCTGATAGTAGCAGCTTGAATATGTTGTGAAGTATTTCCAAGTATTTAAAGGCATCATAACTATTATTTGTATAATGTATTTTATATTATTGATTAGTAGGTTGGCTGTGGGTTTAGCAGTTGTGGAGACCGGCCTGTTGTTAACTTAACGTCAACCTTTCTCCTTTATGTATTTAAGCAGATGCAAAGTCCATATTCATTTGATAGATTAGAATGTGATTAGGCAAAGTTCATGGCCTTTGGTGAATCAATCTTTTGCAATCTTAGGAAATTTCCTTTTCTGACACATAGTTATGAAAATGGGAGCTCCTTTTTTATACTTTAATCTGTTCATTTGTGTAGTTGATGTTTTAGAATTTGTAAGGATTGGCAGCCTGACTAGGTCATGCATGAAGTTTTTCTTTTCTGAATTCAAGGATGTAGAAAAATTGACATGTTTATCAGGTTTCTGTGTGCAGCTCGATCATGGATTCTGCTCGGGAATCTGATGCCACCAATCACTTGCCTGTTAGTGTTCCAGCTGAAAATTATGGTCTACAGGCCAATCATGCAGGAGGCTTTCTTCTTCAAGATGCTTCAGGAATGCCAGATGTGCACCTTGTAGTTGAAGAGCCACCTTTAGAGGCCAATCAGACACCCCCTGGACCACCTCCAGCACCAACTCCAGAACCTGAAAATGATGGCATCCAAACTACAACTCCTTCAGCCCAACAGAACTCCCTGCCAGGAGAGACAGAGGGGGAAGGGGATCTCTTTCAAGCAGATCCAATCAAGCCATTCCTTGTGGTGAAAGGGCAAGTAGTTGTCGCTTTGGTGACGATGTTCTTTAGCAATGGCAGCCTTCCTTTATCCCATAATGCAAAAATCCTAAGGTACTTTGCTGCAGGGAGTAATATCGTCGGCTTCATTGCTTTCTTTACTCGTATCTTGATGTGTGGACGTCGAAGAGGGCTTGCCACCCGAATTGTTACTGCGATGGGATATGCTGGGGTAGCTTATGGGTTCATAGCACTCTTGGTCATGCTGTTACCAGATAACATCAGTCTGTGGATGGCTTTAGGGGCTTGTGCACTATGCTTGCCTGCCATTGCTGCAGCAATCAGGGGATGATTCAATCTCCCTGGATATAGAGGGCAGAGTTCTCGATGACCAGTGTATAAACTAGGTTAGATTTTGTTGTTTTCTACTTTGTCAGAGTTGATAGATGTATTGCCATTTACGAAAACGGATGTCATGGAAAGTGTACATTAAGCTTCTCTCGGCAGCATGCTCTTCTTAGCAACTTGATTCTGTTGCTTGGATCTTGTTGTAATCTCGGAAATGAGCTCTCCCGATTCGATGCTCCATGTGCTGACTGGACTTCTGCCTTCGTTTGGTCACCTGCCAAATCATTGATGCATACTGTTGATATATGTAATTGGGCTCCCCTCGATTGAGACTGCTTTTTGTGCATGATGGATCCTTGCTGCTCTAGATCCAGGACCATGTGAAATTGTGGTCTCCTCGACTGTTTGCTCTGCATGTAAATTGGTACTGTGTCTGCTGGTTTGGTTAAGTATAGCGATTGTTTATTTGTGTGGATGATAGAAGAACGGATAGAAGGTTGAGGCAAGCACCATGTTCAGATTTTGACACTCTCCAGTGCTTAAGTGAGCTCCCCCGGCTGCTTACTACTTGGTGTAATATACCAAAAAGGATTCCATTGAATGAATGCGAACATTGAGCTTCTCTTTGGCTGTGTGCTTTTCTCAGATATGAGCTCCCCCAATTTTGTGCTCCGTGTGCCTAATATTGGACTTCCATATTTGGTTTATCACCTGCCAAATCTCTGATCAGAGTCCATTGACATGTGCAATACAAAGCTTCTGTCAACTGCGAGCTCTTCAGCTCTCATTGAGTGTTTGCTCCACATGTTAATTAGGATTCTATCAGCCGGCTTGGTCTGCATATGTAGTGAGCCTCTCTGGCTGTGTGCTTTATGACTATGAGTACTAACAATGGATGAGTGACAAAAACAATGACAATGCTAATAAAGCTATGCCTTTGAGATCATTCGGTTTATTTATATCGCATATTATCATTGTATTTTTTGTGGTTTGTGACATCTAGTTTTAAACAAAAACAAATCCTAACAGATATTTTGTTTTCTTTCATCCCCTGAGATCATTCATATGATTATATAGCTGTGGAATTGCTATGTTACAGACTTCATGTTTTATTTTCTTCCATTCTCTGAGATCCAAATGAATTATAAATGATGTTGCTATTATCTTGTACTTTTCTTCAGTACGGAAATGCTATGTCATCATATCTGGAAAAACTTCTATTGGACCCACTCGTTCTGCTCCATGTGCTGTTTTATCCAAGCTGTGATTTTTTTTTTTATAAAATTGTTTTTCTCTGTTTTGACTAGCTGTTAGAGATTACCGTTGATCTTAGCAGTTTCAAAATTCAAATCATGAAAAGCAAAACATACAGTTAGAGGTATGCATAAAGAAACGGAAACATCGGAAACCTATGCAGGTCATGAGAGGCTGTAGAACGATGAAAATTTCAACGTTTGATATTGTTGTCGGTGATGTTATACCTCTTGGAATGGGTGATCAGGTGACGTTTATTCTGAAGAATTTATTTTTACTATGCATTTAAATCACTTAAATTAACTATAAAAATATTGAGGTGTTTCACTCAGGTTCCAGCTGATTTACTATTGTTACCTGCCATTCTCTTGCCATAGATGAATCTACCATGACCGGCGAAAGCCGGATGACCCCTCACAATTGCACTCAGAAGTTGGCTCTTTTTCTTGTGAGGGTATTGCACAGAACACCACCGGCAATGTGTTTGTTCGCAAGGTAGCACTATCTTTTGCTTTTGTTCTTTGATTTGGTTGGTTCTTCTCTCACACTCTCTTTACCTAACCACTGTATTTATGATTTCCTAACTTCTCGTGTGCAAACCCTTTTTTTTTTTTGGTTGGATATTGTGGATTACTTTGAGAGCATGATTGCCCTTAAAAGAATGAAGTCTGTTGTTGACTGCGTTTATTTTTGCAGGATGGTGGAGATGTAGAGATTTCTGGATCTCCAACTGAAAAGGCTATCCTCTTTGGCAGTCAAGGCACAGCTTTGAACCATATTCCGCTGCCTATATTAAGTATATTTCTTTGTCAACTAATTGCACTTACCATTTACGTATTTTTTTTTTCATAATTTTGTTTTCAGCTGGGGATGAAGTTTGATGTTCTTAGATCAGAGTCCAAAATTCTGCATGTTTTCCCTTTCAATTCAGAGAAAAAGTGAGGTGGTGTTGCAGTACAAACTGTATTCTCTTCATTCTAACTTTGCCCCTGAATTTAAAGATCACAAGTTAATATGGTGTCTAGGGTCAGTCATAATATTTTCTCTTACCATTTTGCATTTGTTGCATGGAAAATATTGCAGTTTGGCATCTGTTGGCATTGATTTGCCTGTTTTGGTTGTGTTGCATGGACAATATTGCCATTGATTTGCCTGTTGTTAAAGCAACATTTGTCTATTGATCTCTATTTACTTCCAATGTGGTATAAGTTGACGAGTTTAAAAAAGATCAGCTGCAAGGATGTGATTTAAGGATTTTCAAAACTCTATAACCACATCAGGACTAGTGTTGTTTGTTAGCTATACCATATATTATGATCTCTATGCCTGAAGCATGCCATAAGGTACTTGCGCACTTTATGAATGCAACATCTCTTATTTGTGTTTATCACTGAACTTGTGCACTACCGAGTAATATATATATATATTATTGTATTCTGATAAACTTTCATTCATTATTTGATTTTGGCAGACTGATCCTAAAGTTCACATATATTGGAACGGAGCAGCTGAGATGGTTCTTGACTCTTGTACCAGATATCTCAATTCAAATGGTTCATTGCAATCCATTGATAAAGATATGGTTAGTGTTATTTTGCTGAAATTGTTTCATAGTTGTATTCCATATGTTTTATAGAAATAGAAATACTGGGAGGTCATTCCTATTCAAATTAAAATTTTGACTATCTGAAGTTTATGATATATGTATATGGACCAGTGGTTTGCTAAATTTACAATGCTAATAGTTTAAGTTAGTTGCATGAAACACTCAGTAGATTAGCCATCATTTGAAGTGTTTCCATGCAAAAGTTAAGAGAGTAATTTAGAATCTCTTAAAATTTGTCCGTATTTTTTATAGATAATAATTCCTCTTGTAAATCCTTTGCAGGATTTTTTCAAGGCTGCTATTGGCGACATGGCTGCCTGCAGCTTGCACTGTGTTGTTATTGCATACAGACCAGATGAATCGGACAAAGTTCCTACTGATGAAGAGAGCTCAGACAAATGGGTTTTGCCTGAAGACCTTCTCCCTTTTTCATTTGGATTATGTGGATCTCTCCCTCTCTTCATAATTGATAAGTCAACCATTATGTAAAGTTGTTATTGGTGTAGATAAGTTTCATATGCTCCACCCACTTCACATATCTAAGCCTCATGAATTATCTTTGCACTACCACTCTTTTGGTTTTGAATGCAGTAGAATGAATCAGTTTCATTCTCTGATTGAACTTCCAAATGTTTTATTCTTTTCTTTTTACTGATATGCAAATTAACCCCAAGTTTCCTTCTTGGCCTCTCCATAAGTATCAACTTCAGGCAGTGTTTATGCTTTACTAGCAATCAGCTAATACATTCCTGTGCTGGATCCTTGTCGCCTAGGTGTAAAAGATGCAGTGAGAATCTGCACAGCAGCTAGTGCAAAGTTTTTTTTTTTTTTTACTCACACACCCAAGGCTCCTAGCAGAACTAGTTTGCTGGTGTAAAGTTTTTTAATTACTTTCATAAATCAACTTTTAGTTTTAACTTATAAGAATGGTCATTCCGTCAAATGTATCAAGGGATGATGTTTAAAAGACTGAAGTTTGTTATGTTTAATGGTCAATCAAAGTGATTTTTTTTTTTTTTTAATATATATAGGAAATGAACATTATTAACAAAAAAAGGGTAGAGAAGAAAAAAGAGGATGAGATATACTCCTATGAACCCTAGAGCTGCAAAAATCTCCCATCTCTTTGCATATCTGCAACTAGATTCCCTTATATACATCATTGTAGAAGACCCAGTGATGCTACAAGAACTGTTTTATCTCAAAGCAACTGGAATGTTGATGGTTATCCTAAAAGATCCTTGCATATTCTTGCTTTGGAGGTGCACCGAGACAAATCAAGATTAGTGCGTTGCCTTAGCACCTTGCCCCTCTTGGAATTTTGAAGACGCATGCTGTGGCAAGATCATTTGTTGCTCTACATTAGCATTTCTTATACCAGTATGTAATCTATTTGTATGTAAAATCTATCTTATCCATGACATACTATGATTAAATGATTGGGGAAATGACTAATCAGAATAATGTGTTTGTGAAATCATAGGTGCCAATGGTCACTGGAGACAATATTCAAACAGCAAAAGCAATAGCTTTGGAGTTTGGGATTCTCAGTTCAGATGCTGACACTAAGGAGCTTATCATTGAAGGAAAAGTATTCCGTGCATATTCGCAAAAAGAAAGAGAAATCATTGCCAAGAAAATAACGGTTTGTTCCAAACAGCATGAGATTTTCGACTGCACTAAGTGGAGTTTCTAATGAAGTTTAGCTTATAATTACCTTTGAAAATTGAGTTAGCTGGTTTGTTTTTTTTTTTTTTTTTTTTTGTAAGTTTGACGAAAATGTTTAACTTAGGAGTAATGATGTATAGGTGATGGGGAGGTCGTCTCCTAATGACAAGCTTTTGCTTGTGCAAGCCCTTCGTTGTGGAGGGGAAGTAGTAGCTGTGACTGGAGATGGCACAAATGATGCTTCCGCACTTCATGAGGTTTGGCATCCCTGTTGCCCTTTTACGTGTGGTTTTATATGTTGAAAGATTCTGGGTTCATCTGTTAGAGGTTTCTGTTTCTTCTTTTGCACGTGGTTTTATATGTTGAAAATTCTGGGTTCATCTGGTAGAGTTTACAACTCCGATACATAGAAATTGCAAGGTATCTTGTTTGGTTGCCTTTTGGTAACTTATGTCTGGGAACCTGCTCTAGAGTCCCTAATTTTAGTTACTGTTACAAAAAGGTCCTTAGAATTTTGGGCTGCCTGGCCCACCAGTGTGGGCCTGGTTTTCGCCAGATCCATACGGAAGGGTTTGGTGTCAACCGGGCCTGGACTTTTTCTTCTCTCTTTTTATGCTTTTAATTTTTAATTTTTCATTATTTATTGAAAACGGACGTCGCGGAAAATGTACTTTAAGCTTCTCTCTGCAGCTTGCTCTTCTTAGCAACTTGATTCTGTTGCTTGGATCTTGTCGTAATCTCGGAAATGAGCTTCCCCGATTCGATGCTCCAAGAGCTTGCCAAATCATTGACACATACCGTTGATATATGTTACTGGGCTTCCCTTGATTGAGGCTGCTCTTCGTGCATGATGGATCCTTGCTGCTCTAGATCCTGGACCCTGTAAAATTGAGGTCTCCTCGACTGTTTGGTATTGTGTCTGCTGGGTTTTTTTACCCGTTTAGCTATAAATAAATTAAATAAAAAAATCATTAAACTTATCAAACTGACTTTCTCATTGATGTATTCTTTCATTGGGATCCAATTCAAATCACAATCTGTGTAACGATTTTTTTTGTACTACAAATGCTGGAATTGTCCATTTCGATGTATAAAAAACGATCAATTTAAAAATGTGCAAGAAAAGAAATGTCACTATTTTTTTCTACACAAGATTATTATTTTATTAAATTTTTTTTTGTTTTTAAATGAGGTTTTGATGTCGCTTTACTTTTTACTGAATTGTGGTTTTTTATTGGTTAAAAAAATCGATGTTCTTTGACAATTTTGAATGCAACACTGCTACTTGATGTGTTCCGACAGAAAAAGCTAACTGCTCTCCCATGAAATCTGTTGGAAACCTACGAAACTGAGTCCTACGCACCTGTCTTACAAGTTGGGTTGTTAGAGAAGCGCCAAATCAAGTATTTTCCAAAGCATTCGAGGAGTGCATGAAAACCAGCTTGTTTGCTCTTATATCGTGCGGTATAACATGTCACTACTTATACAGGAAATGCTACCTTTTAACGTATCTTGATTTTGCAAAGAACTAAAATCTTCTCCTCTTCAGGTCCTTGAAAAATTCATTGATGTTTCAAACAAGATTTCTTGTTCTGCCCTGCCCCATGTGCCTAACTCTTATCTGTCATTTAATTTGGGCTTTGTTCCCACCTTCTGCTAGCTAGGCTCCTTTATACACTTGTAATGGTTAAAATGGGACCTTAACTTCAAGCTCAGACGATGCAACTTGATGTAAAGTTACTGCTTTCCCATGAAATTTATTGGAAACCTGCTCAATGGAGTCTTATAAAACTGTCTTACAAGTTGGAATGTTAGAGAAGCACCAAATCATAACAAAACTTAGGATAATGGTTGTATATTCCATAACTTTCTTAGTAAAATAAGATTTAAATTTTAATAATTCCAAATTTATTTGATGATTATGTAATGAAAATAATTATCTTTCAATATGTAATCCAAAACTCATAAATCTTTTGATGAGCTGGGGAAAAAAAAAAAAAAACACCAAGTCTTGAGACCACGCTAAAGAGTGTCTGAGAACAAAGCCAACATTAATTGGAAGGAGCTGGCTGAGGCGGTGGAAGGGAAAAGAAAATTCTGGGAGAACCAGTTCTTTGATGCCCAGGAAAGAGTTGCAAAATTAGAGGCCCAAAACGTAGTATTTGTATAACAATATTTTTACTTAATGTTATTACATATATATGTATATATAATAATTTGTTGTAGGCTCCTTCAAGCCTAACAGTATTTGTTTCTTCTTCTTCAATCGTAAGCCCAGTATATCTTGATCGTCGAAAGGTAGCATATATATAGTAATGACAATCGTAAGCCCAGGAGTAGGGAAAAAAAAAAAAAAAAAAAAAAAACTAACCTTCATGTCTATTCGCTCCTTGCTTAACCAAATTATCTACAACTAAATTACCATATCTATTAATTCTACTAAAGCTAATTGACTTCAAAATACGAATAAAAAAAATTGATACTAATAAAAACATTATGTATTCTTCATGGTATCTCATTAGCATTTTGATGAACTCAATGCATTACATTCGCTGAATCTATTTCTACGATCCAGTTCGTCTCAAGAGAAAGAGAAAGATAATGGGAAGAACTTTCACCGAGACCTTATTAATGACCAGAACCTCAACCTCGATCTATAATATTAATACCAGATTTACCGCTTCTTTTCATGAGAGTACTCCTCCCACCGTTATGACTTCCAATATCTGACCTCGATCTATATTTGGCAGACATGGAAGCAATTATTTGTTCCTCAAGCTGGCACCACTTGCATCTTCTCATCACCTGTGACCAAACACGACAAGGAGACAGCATAGACGAGGATTGCTACAGCGAATACCATAAAAACCAGGGAGTAAAACCGGCTGAACTTTTCGTACTTTGCATACTTGACCTTGTCGCGAATCAACAACGAGCTAAACGATCCAGTGAAGGCGAAAATGATGGAGATCACATAGGCATGAAATGTCGACGGGAGGTCCTTGAAGATGATGGTTGGTACTGGATTGCCATCTCCATATTCGTAAGGAAGTAGCCTTAAAAAGACACCATTCGTGAAAGAAGAAAACAGAATCAATATCATAACACCAGTTTCGATTTTTTTCTTCTATGAGGTTTCGATGGGAGCTGAAAAGGACGAAGGAGAGCTTGTCTCAGTTGCATCTTGTCTCTCATAGTTGATGTCCGAGCAGTATGAAGAACCCAAATAAATATTGCTTGAAAGAAATCTGACAATCAATTAGGTGGCTCAAGTACTTGCAGATCAAGAAAAGGGGTTCTCACCTTTTTCATAAAGTGATGCTTTCAGGAAGTTTCATAGATTGCGAAGACGCGTGAAAGTATTCCCTTTCCTCTCTGCCAACCCTCTTTCTTGATGAAGCAATGGGGTTAATTAACAATATCTTGAGTTTCTTAGTCAAATTTAACTTTGAAGCAATCTCATTTTCTTACCATTTTCTACTGACTAATAAGATGCTCTTCGTTAGTCCGATCAGATAAATAATTTTTTTTTTAAAAAAAAAAACTCTTATCTGATGTTTCGAACTAGATTTATTATTCTGCCCCGGCCCATGGTCCTAACTCTTATCTGTCTTTTAATTTGGGCTTTGTTTGCACTCTTCTACGATGGGCCTTTATACATTAGTAATGGTTACAAATGGGCCCTTAACTTCAACCTCAGAGGATGCAACTTGATGCGTTACCACAGACAAACCTAACTGCTCTCTCATGAAATTTGTTGGAAACCAGTCCTGTACAACTGTCTTACAAGTTGGGACGTCAGGAAGCATCAAATCACAAGAACAATTATTCCAGCACTTCTGCATCCGATAGTTTTTTAATAAATAAAAAAATCAAATTTCAAAAAAAAAAAAAAAAAAAAAACCATTATATAATGAAAGAGGATCACTTCCTAATATATAGCCCAAAACCCATAAATCTTTCATTAAAAAAAAAAAAAAGGCACTTACTCTTGTGTTTTTGTTTTATTTCCCCAGCCAGTTCTCATTTTGTTTCTTTTTATTGTTTTTCTTTTCAATGTGTTAACAATTTATATTTAGATTTGATTTGTGCACAAAATTCTTATTTTGTTAGAATGTTTTGTCTTTAAAACAAACTTTTGATTCCCCTTTACAGAGTTGTGATAGATATTTCTTATTGGTTGCAAAAAATCGTGCTCTTTGACTGTTTTGAATGCAACACTGCTAATCGATGCTTTCTCCACTGATCTCCCACGAAATTTATTGGAAACCTCAGCAATTGAATCCTATCCGACTGTCTTACAAGTTGGCATGTTAGAGAAGCACTAGATCAAGTCTTTTCAAAAGCATTTTCCAAAAAAAAAACTATGTCAACGATAATGTTCTTTCCTATTCAAAGATTATACTGGGACACTCGTTGCATGAGAACTAGCTCATTCGCCCTTATATCGTGCGGTAGACGTGGGTTCCAAACCTGAAACCGTTCGAGGTTTGAGAATTCATCAACCAACTCTCAAATCTTGGTCGAAATTTCTGTGCATTTTAAGATAATTTCAAGACATCAAAATCAATCCACTGATTTTAGTTGGATCTCCATGTGCATTTATTTACAAAATAGCTGGTGGGATATGGATGCACCGAACTTGACATTTTGGTGATGAATGAAATTTCCCATTGACTTGCAAGTCATTGACCTACGTGTCGGGATGCACCGATGTGGACCTAACCGCATGAGTTGTATTCTGTATCCAATCTTGAATATTAGCACCCAATAAACTTGAGGTTCATTTAACTCTCATGGTCCGAAAGTTTTGATGTTCAAATCTTGATGTCGATCTTTTGCTTGTTAATGAAAAAGAAATAAAAGCTTCTTTTTTCTCAACCGTGCATGGAAACTTGTAGTTCAATTAACACTTGCGTACGATCATAGTACCAAAGTTCTCGATCGTGTTCAGATCTCGATGTCGGTTTTCGTTCGAGAGAAAAAAAAACGATGGTTTTTTTTTAATATTCTTTTTATTTATTTATTTATTTATTTTGCCAACGATACAAAAAGATGCATGCACCACGTACAGAAATTGACATTGCTCCACCAACACTTCCTCTCGCTGTTCTATCGATTTCTGTACTATCTTGTTTGCTCTAAAGCAGCAAATCTCGAAAACTTGTGACACTTGATATGCTTTATTTTCAAGTTGCCAATTGGCTTCATGCTCACAGCCATTAACTTTATCATTTTAGATCAATCGCATGTGAACTCAATCATCTTTTCAGAATGTTTTTCATTGTTTTTACCGACTTTTCCAAAGTTAATTTTTTTCTCTTTGCGTTTCATTCAAGTCGTCTTGGTTAATTAGTCTTATTTATTCCTAATTTGCTAAAGAAAGGGTCACGTATAAGCTAAATGTTCTTTAATAATTGTGAATAATAATTTATCAATTTGAGCTTTAATTGATTCTCCCTAATTAGTTTGAAACTGAGATTATAGAAAACTTCGGAATTAATTAAGTAGGAATAGAAATTGAAATTTTTTTAACTGTACTCAACAAAAGTAACCAATAATACTTATTTCAATATAATGTATAAAAAATAAACACATAAAAAAAAAAGAGATAGAAAATAAAAAAATGAAATTCACATCATGTCCTTGTACATTAATTATTGTCTATTTTAACATCCTTATCAAAGTATTCGTACAAAGCAAACAATTTATTAATAAATATTGAAACAAACTAGTCATTTTATATATTTTCGTTAATCACATGATTAATCAAATATGGAATGAAATAATTGATTTGTTTCGATATTCAGTAGTATAAATTTTTGTTTATATTATATATAAATAAAATAGTTAAAATAAATAATGCTAAATAATATAACGATACAGAATGAATTTTTCACTCAAAAAAATTGAGCGCACATTAAAACATTCTTATTATTTTTATTGGGTTTGCATATAATTTTTTTATTCTTTATATATATATATATTTTTTCAAAATAAATCTAGAAAATGATTTGATAATTATTCGTTGAATAACTTAAAATTCCTGACGAATAACGCGTAGAGAATGAAGAGATACGAAGGACTGCTGGACGCCGCTAATTCTATTGATCGTGCTGGAACTAATTAAATAATTAAAAGTACGTGTCCTCCATCCCTAGTCAGAAAAAGTTTTGTAATTTATTGCAGCATTATTGTTAGGAAGTAGCTTGTATTTCACACTTTCCAGTTTTCTTCAGGTCGTTTTCTTCGTGTTTATTTTATCATTTATGGTATTCTCACTCTGTAGTGGAAAACCAAAACATTTTCTGATCTGATCCAAAATATGGCTGATCTGACAGAAAACGAGCTATTATTGGAGAGCAAAACTACTCGTTAGCTTAAAGGCATTAGCACCCTCGATTTTAAAATTTTATTCAATTTAACCCTTATGCTTAAGTGCTATTCCAATATCGATTTTATCTTTAAATATATATTAGTTTTCAATTTATCAAAATTTCCAAACTAAATCATTGGAATTATCCATGTGATTCGTATATGATTATTTTTTATTTTTAAATATCTTCATAATTCAGTCAAATAAAACGTTTTTATATATAAATCGTGTGACTATTTTTTAATAATATAGCTTAAAAATCTTACTAGGATAATGAATTATACACTTAATATACATTTAAGAATAAAATTAGTTGAATTAGGAATTCAAAAACTATCTAAGCGTTCAATGATTTGAGTTGGAATCCACTTGCAAAGTACTGTTTTTGATGGTATCAAATGTATATATGCATCGCTTTTAGACAGCAGAAAAGCAGTGTCGCTTAGCGATTCATGTGGTCAAATGATGAAATATTTCCACAAACCTGAAATTGCGCCAGATTTTGTTCTTCAGTCTGCCTCTCCATACGGGAACTCTTTACTGCTACGGTCTCTTTTCATTTCGTAAAATAAGGGGACACAAGCTGTAATGTTGTTCATGCATAGGTTGACGTTTGGCTAGAGCTTGATGGTGTCATGCCGGCCCTCTCAAGGTTGAACAACTAATTAGTTAGTATCTGTTTTTTTTTTTTAAATTACAAATAATTGAATCCTTATTTTTTTTTAATTTATTTTGATTTTTTTTATAAGGAATAGAAAAAAGAAAAAACACAAGTAAAAAATATGAAAGGATTAATGAAAAAATATGATATCTCTTAAAATAATATAATATTAAATTAAACATGATTGTCATTGATCAAGAGACTAGGTAATTAGTTTTTTAAATGAGATAAACTAATTAATTTGTTTCTTGTCGGTTGCAAGAAATATATACTCTTTAATAATTTTGAATGGTTGAGATTTTTCGTCAATAAAATCTAATAGTACAGCTTGTTCTTTCGTTGATCTTTTGTGGCAATAAGCTCAATTATATGCATAGTGTGCATGTATGTTGTGCAAAAAAAGTCACATTTTCAGCAATCCCTGTCGAGAAATTTTAGCGAGCTTTTTTAACAATCCATTAAGAAACTGTTTGCTACATGAAAAACAATCATTTATCGTCATTGTAAAAATATTTTATCTAAATTTTGGTAACAATAAGTTTAATTTTACGTGGGATGTGTAAAAAAAGTCACATTTTGATCAATCCTCATCGAAAAGTTTTAGTGAGGTTTTTTTATGTTCCATTAAGAGATATTTACTACATGAAAAATTGTCATTCATTGTTGTTGCAAAAACATTTTATCTGAATTGTTCAATGTAAAAAATTGTAATTTTCTTATTAGTTTTTGATACGATCGGACCACAAAGATAGTGATATACGTATTTATTTAATTTATATTATGAGTGAAATTACTATCTTTCATAATAATAATAATAATTTGATTAACACACATACAAAGCAACAAATCAATCGGGATTGATACACACTTATTTTCTTCGTGTTTTGTTATGTTAAATCGATTATGAAACTCGTTTGCTACATTAAAAACATCATTCATCGTTATTGTAAAAATATTTTATCTAATTTTTTTGTGGCGATAAATTCAATTGTTTGCGTAATGTATAAGTGTGTTGTGTAAAAAAAGTCACATTTTAATCAATCTCCTTCAAGAAGTTTTAGTGAGCTTTTTTTTACGGTCCATTAAGAGACTATTTGCTCTATGAAAAATCATCATCTATCATTATTATAAAAACATTTTGTCTAATTTTTTGTGGCAATAAGTTTAATCGTGTTCATAGTTTGTATGTGTGGAGTGGAGAAAAAGTCATATTTTGAGCAATCTCCATCGAGAACTTTTAACAAGCTTATTTTTATGATTCATTAAGAGACAATTGATACATGAAAAATCATTATTCATCGTTATTGTAAAAACATTTTGTCTATATTTTTTAATATAAAAATTTATAATTTTCTTGTTAGTTTTTGATATGATTGTATCGTAAAAATAATGACGTATTTATTTAATTTATATTATAAATGAAATTACTATCTTTCATTAAAATAATAATAATAACAATAATAATTTGATTAACTCACATGGAAAGCAACAAATCGATCTTGATTGATCCAAACAGTGATTTTCTTCATGTTTTGTCATATTCGATCGATCATGAGAAATGATTCATTATTCTGTTTCTTTTCTCAATCAATCTCTTTCTAATTGGTTCACATTTTTCTTTCATAGGGAAAATGACTTCATCACTTGTTTGTACTCTGTTCACAGAGAAAGAAGAGAGAAAGGGCAACATGCATTACGAGTACCTTTTTCATAAAGTGATCCTTTCAGGAAGATTTTAAATTTAAACTATATTATTTAAACCGAGATTTATTCCTAAAAAAACACATATTTTGTATCTCAAAAAATTATGTAATATTTCTAAAATTTTTCTTAATTTTTTTCATACCTGCCCCATTCCAAAATTTCTATCTGTATCCTTGATACTTGTCTAAAACTCGATAAAGAAAAATTTAACCTGATCAGCACATGAAATATAGCTCGACAATACACTTACCCTTAAATAATCACAACATACAACTTTAGGTACTAAAACAGAATAATTTAAAATTAGAGGGACTAAACCCAAATTAGAGACTAAATAAAAAAAAATATATATATATATATATATAGGACGCATTACGAGTACCTTTTAGAAGTTTGTTGGGAACCTGTCATTGCGCGGGAAGAAAGTGCGAGGAAGTTTCCTATTTTCATAACTTTCATTTTTCAACAAAAATACCCTCTCTCTCTCTCCACCCACACACTCCACATGAACTGTCGATATATTTCCTAAATCCGCCGATTCTTATCTTTCCGCCACCACCACCGTCCGATATCCGCCGATCATGGTAACGTAGCCGAACTTTTCTCTCTTTTTTATTAGTCATATTTCAAATTATCGTTGTATTTTTTTTGGTCTGTGACATCTATTTTTAAACACAAACAAACCCTAACTGTACTTTTATCCGTAACTAGCGCCTCCGACATTGCCGGATTCACCACCCAATCATTCCAACGTTCTTTCTCTTCGCTTCTCTTTCTGTTATTATTATTTTTTAAAATTTTATAATAATAATATTAATTTCTTTATTTGTTTGTTAACTGATTCTACTGGGGGTTGAATTCTTACTCATTTTTTTGCTGTATTTTTCGTGTTGAGGAGCTGGTGGCCGCTCTTCCGGCTGTAACAACCGGGATTTTTATGCGCCATCTCTCCATGCGACATTAAAATCACAAATTCTTTTCTTCATTTGTTTACGTAACAAAATAATAGAAGAAGAGAGAGGAAGGAACGGAATCCAAAACGGAAGGTGGAGAAGGACTAGAAGGAAAGAGAATCATGAGTAGCAGTTGTTCGTCCAATGGATTGTTGCCATCTTTGGCGTCTCCTAGGCAGGCTGATGACTTAGAGGCGGGACCTACCAAGGAGTTTCAACTTGAAGATGATGATTTGGTTGATGAATCTGATCCTTTTGATATTGCTCATACCAAAAACGTTCCTCTCGAGATTCTTCGCCGATGGAGGGTAATTATAATTGTTGTTGTCATAGATATTGTTATTGGTATTGTTACGTTGATGCTGCATTGTCTGCCAGTGTGCTTGATTGTTATTATTATTGGATGAATTTTATGTTTGGTTTAAAAGTGGAGCGAAGAGGTGTCAATGCTGGGGCTGTATCTGTATATTATGGGTATCTACACGCCAAAATGGGTGTAAGAAAGAGGAATGGATTTGATGTTTTGAGTTTCGTTTGTGTTGGAGATGGTTTTATTTGTGGAATATACATGGACTTTTTTCTTAAGAAAGGAAGAAGATGCAGAAGAAAATGCAATGTTGTAGGATAACTTCCTTTATGCTCATATAGAAATCAATTTCGGGTTTTGGTAATTATAATGCTGACTTAAAACAGAAAGTTATCTAAGGCAGGTTCCTTATTGTTTCGGTTTTGAGAGTCGATCATGAATTTCCTTTTCTTTGTTGGTTTTGTTTTAGCAATATGTGCTGGGTACATTGTTTATTGCGGGTTTGGTTTTGTATTTTTCTTTCCTTGAGTTGTTACTAAACTTGTTTTTGTCTTTCACAGCAAGCAGCGCTTGTGTTAAATGCTTCCCGGCGTTTTCGGTACACCTTGGACTTGAAAAGGGAAGAGGAGAAAGAGCAAAGAAGGCGGATGATCAGATCCCATGCGCAAGTCGTAAGGGTAATTTTTATAACATTAGCAATCATTTCATCATGCACTTGAGACTGTTGTATTTCTTGATCAATGATTATTTGTTGTTTCAGGCAGCATTACTCTTTCGGTTGGCAGGGGAACGACAGATTGGTATGTCAGGCTCTAATGTTTTTTTTAACCTTCTTCTTTTACTGCTCGTAATCTTTATTTGACGTAGTGAAATGAGTTTATATGTGGAGATTTTGAAATTGATTTGTTTAGGGCCTCTTTATCCCTTCTCTCTGACCTAGGATTTTTTGACAAAGGAAGCGGAACATTAAGGAAGTCATACCTGTAAAAGTAAAACAGAAGTGGTTGAATTGAAGAATTTGACTGGGGATTTATCACCATGTGTGTATATAGTCCTCATTTAGCTAAAGAATAAATTCTGTAACACTGCATTGAGGTTGACTATTTACTGTGATTGCAAGTGTTGGGCAGTGAAGAAACAACATGCCCAGAAAGAAGCGTAAATCAGAATATTAAGATGGATATATCTGAAGATATTTTAGGACTGGATAAGAATAATGCATTCCTTTGAAGGTTAAAAATGGCAAGTTAGATTAATGTTTGAGTGAAGGAGGGAAATAGTTTGGCCAAAAAGGATTTGGATTGAAGTAGTGAAGAAACGAATTATTGTCACAATCTTTCAAATAAAATTTGGACTTAAATATAATATAATGGAGGAAGGGATTATGTGCTGTTGACCCTAGTACATGATATTAAACATGGGATAACTAACTGATTACTAAGTAAAATATGTTTACAATTTTTTTTCTTGTACATATTTTAATCTGCCATTTTGGAGTTTCGGAGCTGTATTTTTTCGACTTAAATAGACTAGCTTTGTTAACTTATTTTCTGTTTCTCAAGTGTTGGGTCCCTCAGCTACATCTCCAAATGCTACTGGTGATTATGACATTGGACTAGAGCAACTTGCTTCAATGACCAGGGATCATGATTTTTCTTCTCTGCAACAATGTGGTGGTGTAAGTCAATTGCAAACATGCTTTCCTTATTTTACACCATTTTAATGTGTAAACTTATTTACATTGTGTGTTATCTCTTCCTTGATCAGGTCAAAGGGTTGTCAAAGATGCTGAAAACCAATCTTGCGACTGGTATTACTGGAGATGAGAATGATTTGACAAAACGTAGGAATGCATTTGGAACAAATAGATATCCTCAGAAAAAAGGACGGAGTTTTTTGGTATAATATGTGGTTTTGAATTGCTATTTTCTTTTTTCTCTCTTTTTAGAATTACAAACATTTTGCTTACCATGCACTTTATATTGCAGAGGTTCCTCTGGGAAGCTTGGCAAGATTTAACCCTCATTATCTTGATTGTAGCTGCCATAGCATCATTAGGATTGGGAATCAAGACAGAGGTATGCTTGTTTCTTATTCTGTTTATTGTGTTTTAACTTGACTGAGCTAAAGATATTAGTTCTATATTACGAGTATTTGCACAGTGCATTATAGCTTTCCCTCTTTAAACTGATATGTTGTTCACATTTCTTGTTCCTTATAGGGTTTGTCACGTGGATGGTATGATGGGGCGAGCATCTCTTTTGCTGTTATTCTTGTCATAGTTGTTACAGGTATTAAATTTATTCCAAATGCAAGGTCCATACAGTTGCTAGCAGAAGGTAGCAATTTAGGAAAGTTTGACTGCTTATGATTACAAGTTTTAGAAAGTTGGCATCCAGAGGATTATATAGCTGTTGAATGGCTATGTTAAAGATTTCATATTTTGTTTTCTTTCACCCCTCAGATCGAAATGAATTGTAAATGATGTTGCTATTATTTTGTACCTTTCTTCACTATTGAATTGCTTTGTTCATCATATGTAGAAAAAGTTCTATTGTGCCCATTCATTCAACTCTATGGCTGTTTTATCCAAGCAGTGATTTTTTTTTTCTAACTATTAGTTTTCTCTGGATTACTAGCTGTTAGCGATTACCGTCAATCTCTGCAGTTTCAAAATTTAAATCAGGAAAAGCAAAACATACAGTTGGAGGTATGTATTAATTTGATATGAAATGATATCATTGCTTATTTTTACATCTTCCAGTGTATGGTATTTAAAGAAACGGAAACATCTGAAACCTGTGCAGGTCATGAGAAGTGGTAGAACGATGAAAATTTCAATATTTGATATTGTTGTTGGTGATGTTGTACCTCTTGGAATAGGTGATCAGGTGAGGTTTATTTTTTGAAGCATTTAATTTTACTAGGCATTTAAATCACTTAAATTAACTATAAAAATATTGAGGTGTTTCACTCAGGTTCCAGCTGATGGAATCTTGATTTCCGGCCATTCTCTTGCCATAGATGAATCTAGCATGACGGGTGAAAGCAAGATTGTGAGTTGGCTAATAATCTAGTTCTTTAAGTTCTTGACTGTTGAAATATATCATTTTGAAGTCTGTTCTATTTTAGGTTCACAAGGATCAAAAGGCTCCCTTTTTGATGTCTGGTTGTAAAGTAGCAGATGGTATCGGCACTATGCTGGTAAAAAGTGCAGTTTTACATTCCGTTCTGTCTTTAATATGATCATGATGATTGTCAGTTATTTTTATAAAGCATGTTTACTTTTCCTTTATATGTTTTTCATGGTAATTAGCAGCAGCATTTCCTGTTGTCTTCAAAATAATCTGTTATTTGTTACTTGAATTTACCAGCTTGTAGATTCATTTCTTCTTGGCCATTTACAGGTAACTGGTGTTGGAATAAATACTGAATGGGGATTGTTGATGGCAAGTATTTCAGAGGATACTGGTGAAGAGACTCCCTTGCAGGTTTCATGTCAATTCTCATTGCTTCAACCGTAGCTAATGCCAATAAATGTGATTTGATCCGGCTTTAAAGTTATCTCTTAATGACTGTGTTAGGTACGATTGAATGGACTTGCAACTTTTATAGGCATCGTCGGGCTTGTAGTAGCACTTTCTGTGCTAGGTGTCCTTTTGGGCCGGTAGGTTAAATTTTATTATTCAATTACTCATTGTTACATTGCTTGTGTATCAACTTACCAGCTACAATCTCAATAAATTTGTCAGATTCTTTACTGGAAATACGAAAAATCCAGATGGAAGTGTCCAGTTTATCAAAGGCGAGACATCTGTCAGTAAAGCAGTAGACGGAGTGATAAAAATCGTTACTGTTGCAGTAAGTGAAGTGCCTGGATTTGTTTTATGTTCATGTTTTATGTATTTCCTGACTAAATGTATAAACATTTAGGTTACAATTGTGGTTGTTGCTGTTCCTGAGGGACTTCCATTGGCTGTTACCTTGACGTAAGTAAAAGTCATCTCTATAATATTGGTGCTTGCTGATCTAGTGATCACTATCTTATATCCATTTCATCTTATTTTTGTACTCTATTGCTTTCCAGTCTGGCATATTCAATGCGGAAAATGATGGCAGATAAAGCCTTGGCAAGTATCTTTCTCTATTTATTTTCTTCTATAATTTACTCTGATTTGAATTCTAGTTTATGAAACATCTTTATCTAACAGCATAGATATTCAGGTTCGTAGGCTTTCAGCATGTGAAACTATGGGCTCTTCAACAACAATTTGCAGTGATAAGACTGGAACTTTGACATTGAATCAGGTGGGTTTCAGAGTAGGCAGCATGATTACTTACAGAAGCAGGCATGCGATGTTCTGTGCTTGAGTTTGATTCATGGATTTTTCCTTTATAGATGACGGTAGTGGAGGTGTATGTTGGGAAGCAGAAGATAAACCCATCGGATGACCCCTCACAATTGCACTCAGAAGTTGGCTCTTTATTATGCAATGGTATTGCACAGAACACCACTGGCAATGTGTTTGTTCCCAAGGTTGCACTCTCTTTTGCTTTTGTTCTTTGATTTGGCTGATTCTTCTCTTTACCTAATCATCACATTTATTATTTCCTAACTTATTGTTTGGAAACCCTTTCTTTGTGTTTGATATTGTGGGTTACTTTGAGAGCATGATTGCCCTGAAAAGAATGAAATCTATTGTTGACTGCATTTATTTTTGCAGGATGGTGGAGGTGTAGAGATTTCTGGATCTCCAACTGAAAAGGCTATCCTCTCTTGGGCAGTCAAGGCACAGCCTCTAACCATATTCCACTGTTTATATTAAGTATATTTCTTTGTCTAGTAAATTGCACTTACCATTTTCGTATTTATTTTTCATAATTTTGTTTTCAGTTGGGGATGAAGTTTGATGTTCTCAGATCAGAGTCCAAAATTCTGCATGTTTTTCCCTTCAATTCTGAGAAAAAACGAGGTGGTGTTGCAGTACAAACGGTATTCTCTTCATTCTAACTTTGCTCTTGACTTTAAAGATCACAAGTTAATCTGTTGTCTACTATCAGTCATAATATTTTCTCTTACCATTTTGCATTTGTTGCATGGAAATTATTACCGTTTGGCATCTGTTGGGATTGATTTGCCTGTTGCTAAAGCAATATTTGTCCATTGATCTCTATTTACTTCCAAATGTGAAATAAGTTGGAGAGTTTCAAAAAGATCAGCTGTAGGGATGTGATTTAAGGATTGTCAAAGATCTATAACCACATCAGGACTAGTGTTGTTCATTAGTTATACCATTTATTATGATCTCTATGGCTGAAGCATGCCATAAGGTTCTTGCATACTTTGTGAATGCAAGATCTCTCATTTGTGTTAATCACTGAACTTGTGCACTACTAAGTAATAGATAAATTGTCTTATACTGATAAACGTTCATTCATTATTTGATTTTGGTAGACTGATTCTAAAGTTTGTTAATTGATTTGGCAGAGTGATTCTAAAGTTCACATATATTGGAAGGGAGCAGCTGAGATGGTTCTTGACTCTTGTAACAGATATCTCGATTCAAGTGGTTCATTGCAATCCATTGATGAAGATATGGTTAGTGTTCTTTTGCTGAAATTGTCTCAAAGCTGTATTCCATATGTTTTATAGAAATAGAAATACTGGGTGGTCATTCCTATTCAATTTAAAATTTTGACTCTATCTGAAGTTTACAATTTGTGGACACAGTGGTTTGCTAAATAAAGAGAAATTTTATAATACTCAAGGAGTAACTACTGTACATGTACAGTAGTGACTCCATGAGCCCACTTTTCAGGAGAGAGAGACACAAAGAGGAGAGAAAAATAGGAGAAAGAAAATTAAAAAAAAAATTGAGCCAAGGTGGAGATTTTCTTCTCTTTTTATTGGTCCAGATATGATTCCACCTTGACTCATTTTTTTTTAATTTTCTCTCTCTTATTTCTCTCTCGTCTTTTTGTCTATCTCTCTCTTGAAAAGTGGGACCATGGAGTAACTACTATACATGTACAATAGTTACTTCTTGAGTATTATAAAATTTCTCATAAATTAACACTGCTAATAGTTTAAGTTACTTGCATGAAACACTCAGTCTTAGATGATAAAATTAGCCATCATTTGAAGTGTTTCCATGCAAAGGTTAAGAGAATACTTTAGAATCTCTTAACATTCGTCTACAATTTTTTTAGGTAACGATTCCTCTTGTCAATCCTTTGCAGGATTTTTTGAAGGCAGCTATTAATGACATGGCTGCCTGCAGCTTGCGGTGTGTTGCTATTGCCTACAGACCATATGAATCAGACAAAGTTCCTACTGATGAAGAGAGCTTAGACAAATGGGTTTTGCCCGAAGATGAACTTGTTTTGCTTGCTATTGTTGGCATTAAGGTGTGCATTTTCAGACCTTCTCTTTTTTTTCATTTGGATTATATGGATCTCTCTCACTCTCTCTTCATAATTGATAGCTCTACCATTATGTAAAGTTGCTATCAGTGTAGATAAATTTCATATGCTAGATGTTATCTCCACCCACTTCACATATGTAAGAAGTCTCATCAATTATCTTTGCTCCACTACTCTTTTGGTTTTGACTGCATTTAGAATGAATCAGTTTCATTCTTTGATTGACCTACCAAATGTTTTATTCTTTTCTTTTTGCTGATATGCAAATTAACCCAAGTTTCCCTTCTTGGCCTGTCCATAAGTATCAACATTCAAGCAGTGTTTATGCTTTACTTGCAATTAGCTAATACATTCCAGTGCAGGATCCTTGTCGCCCTGGCGTAAAAGATGCGGTGAGCATATGCACAGCAGCTGGTGTAAAGGTTATTAATTACTTTCAGAAATCAACTTTTAGTTTTACCTTATAAGAATGATCATTCCATCATATGTATCAAGGGATGATGTTTAAAAGACTGAAGTTTGTTTTGTTTAATGGTCAACCGAAGTAACCTTTTTCTATTTAGGAAATGAACATTATTAACAAAGAATGGAAGAGAAGAAAACAGAGGATGAGATTTCCTCCTATAAACCACTACAAAAAAAAAAAAAAAAAAGAAGAAGCTTGGAGCTACAAAAATCCCCATTTCTTCACATATCTGCAACTAGATAAATCATTGTAGAACACCTACTGAAGCTAGAAGAACTATTTTATCTCAAGGCAACTGGAATGTTGATGGTTGTCCGAAAAGATCCTTGCATATTCCTGCTGTGGAGGTGCACCGAGACAAAGCAAGACTGTGCATTGCCTTAGCACCTTGCCCCTCTTGGAATTTGGAAAACCCATACTGTGGAAAGATCATTTGTCGCTTTATGTTTAGCATTTCTTATACCATTTTGAAATCTATTTGTATGTAAAATCTATATCATCCATGACATACTATGATTAAACGATTTGGGAAATGACTGATCAGAATAATCTGTTTGTGAAATCATAGGTACGAATGGTCACTGGAGACAATATTCAAACAGCGAAAGCAATAGCTTTGGAGTGTGGGATTATCAGTTCAGGTGCTGACACTAAGGAGCCTAATATCATTGAAGGAAAAGTATTCCGTGCATATTCGGAAAAAGAAAGAGAAATAATTGCCAAGAAAATAACGGTTTGTTCCAAACAGCATGAAATTTCTGACTGCACTAAGTGGAGTTTTTAATGAAGTTTAGCTTATAATAACCTTTGGAAATTGAGTTAGCTGGTTAGGCTTTTTTTTTTTTTTTTAGTGTGAGAAAATGTTTAACTTAGGAGTAATGATGTGTAGGTGATGGGGAGGTCGTCTCCTAATGACAAGCTTTTGCTTGTGCAAGCCCTTCGTAAGGGAGGGGAAGTTGTAGCTGTGACTGGGGATGGCACAAACGATGCTCCTGCACTTCATGAGGTTTGGCATCCCTGTTTCTTTTTTGCATGTGGTTTTATATGTCAAAAAATTCTGGGTTCATCAAATAGAGTTTACAATTTCGATACATAGAAATTGCAAGGTTTTTGTTTGCTTGTCTTTTGGTAACTTGTGTCTGTGAACCTGTTCTAGAGTTCCAACAATTGTGACCATTGGACCTGGACCTCTAGTTTTGGAGACATTAGCTTTCTGATATCTAGATGCATCGATATTAGTGTTTTTGTGTCATGTAGACTAGTAGAAAGTTATGATTAATAAGAATTGTAACAAATATCATAGCAGATCACTAATCATAGCACCAAGTTCTGTTATATCTAAAAGATTGATTTATATGTGGGGGGTCACATTCTTTCTTTGACATTCTCTGGAAAGTTTTGAAGACAGGAATAAATGTGTGTCTGTGCAACATGCATGTTTTGTGTAGAGATAGATTTCATGCCAGTAATCGTTCTAGTTCCCAATATTATAGCCAATACAAAAGTTAACGATCTTGAATGTCTTGCATGGTAAGTGATTTTATACATTATGTGTCTGGGCGGCAACAAAAACTTTCTAGGGATTAAAGCTGATTATTTTCCGTTCTGTGCCTCTTGCACTACATCATGGTTTTATACTCAACAACTTTATTTGCTCTACTTTCCAATTTGTTTGTTGCTTCCCTGTCAATTGACTGCACTTTTACCTTTCTGTGTTATAGGCTGATATAGGCCTTTCTATGGGCATTCAAGGAACTGAAGTAGCAAAAGAGAGCTCGGATATTGTTATCTTGGATGATAATTTTGCTTCTGTTGTAAAGGTTAGCTAGTTCTTGACTTGTTTACATGAGAAAATTGGGCGTGGTATCTTTCTTTAGAATGAAAACACCTTCTTTCTGTCTCAAATTTCTTCTTTTACAGTGAATCTCAATCCTTTGTGCTTCAATATATGTATTTATCTGTTGGAAGTTGCATATTTGCAGCTTCTATTCCTTTTGGTTTCTTACTATCGTGGAATTTGTTGCATATGTGCAAAGCATTTTGACATGTAGGCCTTCTTTTGCTTGGGGTTGGAGTGTATCTTTCTTTAGGAAGAAAACACCATCTTTCTGTTTAGCATTTCTTTTAGAATTAATCTGAATGCATTGCACTTCAATATACGTACTTATTGGTTTGAAGTTGCATGTTTGCAACTTTCATTCTTTTTGATTTTTTACTATCATGGAATATGTTACATGTTTCCAGATCATTTTGACCTGTAGGACTTCTTTTGCTTGGATGTTGTACTTGTACTCCCATGTCCATCAGATTAATATGTTTCCATTAACTAGCTTTTATGCTATTTTAGCTTATTGTTTAATTTTCTTCATAAACATTTGCCTCTTCCTTTTGAAATAGTTGTCAGTGTGTGATAGATGATAATGGTCTTTATAGCTCTGTTTCTTCAGTTACGTTTCATATCTTCCTGAATTAACATTCAAGAAGTGTATGGTCTTAATATTCATTGCGCATGGACCACCTAGGAAGAACCCTTCAATTGCATGGCAGCTTCTTAACCTTAGAATCTACTTTTAGCCTATGCTTTTCTCCCTTCAAGTTACAATAATAGTCTGTGTACGAATTACCTTTGTTTCTGCCACATGTAGGTTGTCCGTTGGGGGCGTTCAGTGTATGCCAACATTCAGAAATTTATCCAATTTCAACTTACTGTTAACGTTGGAGCTTTAGTAATCAATGTTGTTGCAGCAGTCTCTTCTGGTGATGTTCCTCTAAACACAGTGCAGGTCTCTCTCCTTCTCTCTCTCATATGTATTTTTTTTTCTCTGATCAAGCTAATCTTAGCATACCGAGCATTTCACATATTCATTATATGGAGCTCAATGTCAAATTCACGACTGCAGTCCAGACCATTGCGAAATTTTATAATTTTCTCATGAATTGTCCTCCAAATTTGCCAGTAAACTGGTTTTATTATAGCATCAAGACTGACCAAAACTTTGGTTCCGTGCATGCTTATTGGTAAAATAGTTTATTCCTATCATATTGAAGTTCACTTGAGGGAAAAGAACTTGGTTTTGTATTGAATTTGTTTATAGTCAATTTTATCTTATCTAGGCCCTATCTTAAAGAAAGGACCTGCCCATCATTTAGAAACTTGTTTTTGTACAATGTGTGGAACAACTATAGCCTTGATGAAATTTTCAGGGAATATAGTGAGGGATTGTTTGTATTTGCAGTGGGTCCAGTCATTAAATATATGTGTTTTCTTGCTTGGGTGTGGGGGAGGGATGCACTGGATGCTTCAGAATCGTTTAGACTGGAAATTCTCTTTTAATTTGTTTCAGAAGACAAGATATTGTGGGTTGTCTTCCAGATTTTATGCATACCCCAGGAAAGAATATTTCAATGGATTGATATTATACCTGAATTTGGAAAATTTCCTTGATGCTGAACTAAATTCTGTGTCATGATGAGCAGACATTTTAATTCTTGTTCACTTTTGTTATACAGCTTCTATGGGTCAATCTTATCATGGACACACTTGGGGCACTTGCATTGGCTACGGAACCGCCAACAGACCACCTTATGCATAGGACACCAGTCGGTCGAAGGTTCGTACTATGGCTTAGCCAAATATGTTATGGTGGATATATAAATCTACAAATGCAAGTTACAGTGAACGTGCTCTTAAATTGTCTGTTCTGTGTACTGTCGTGGCTAGATGCTTAATTTTTGTTAAGTTTGAACCTTGCTTTGCTGGTAAGTTTTTGGGGTAAATTATTGTTTGACCATTTTTATTTAAAAGGAAGGGAATTGAGGTTGCTTTTATTTTGATTATCAATGGAGGGAAATTGTGGGAGTGTATGGTCTGCTTAACATTGAGGAACTTTCAAATATTTGACAATCTGAGATCCTACAAATTTTTTGGTCTTCTTTATGCCTTCTGATTCCAGGAAAAAAATGTAGAATTTTGCTTTGTTATTGTTTCAAATATTGGTTGTGACGAAGTTGTGAGGTTGTCATTATTTTTTCGCTTTTGTCCCAGTAGAAGTAGAGTACTTGTTAAATTTAACTACAGTGAAATTTAAAACAACCAATGCACCTACTAGTGGAAAAAAGAATATACAGGGTGATACTGAATCACAACTCTTTCAAGCTTCATCCTTTGTTTCTTTGTCATTTTACTTGTCTTCGACCCGTGCTTGTCCTAGAAGTATGGTCTTGGGATTCTCTTGCATACTTTGATTGTAGAAGTTGTATAATGGTTTTCAATGTATTTGCAACTTTCTGAATTGATGGGTGATGATCTGAATAGATGATCTTCTGCTTGATGTTTTAGGGAACCTCTTATAACAAATATCATGTGGAGGAACTTGCTCATACAGGTATTTCTTCTCTGAAATGCTCAGTTTGCCTGATTACATATTGAGATTACTATGGGCTGAGTGCTAATGTAGCTTCATGACATATGCATGACCTATTATTTTCATGTCATTTCAGGCTTTATATCAAATTGCTGTCCTCCTTGTACTCAACTTCCGTGGCTTGAGTATTCTCAATTTGAATCATGGCGACAGGAAACATGCTATACTTGTGAAGAATACTATGATATTCAATGCATTTGTTCTCTGTCAAGTAAGTTTGACACTTGTCTAAAAGTATTAGTTGTTGTATTCATGAGTCTTGTTAAATCTTTTGAGATGGAAAATGAAACCAATGCCATTATCATTCTCAATTATGTCGGATGTGAAAAGTTATTTTTCTTTTCAAGATGCAAAACCCTCATTTGCTAATTGTTGAACTTCCAGGTTTTCAACGAGTTCAATGCTCGAAAGCCAGATCAAATAAATGTCTTTAAAGGAGTTACAAAAAACCACTTGTTTGTGGGAATAGTTGGGTTTACAGTCATCCTTCAGGTGAGCAGCCATTGCTTTTCTTTTGGGCTTTCATTATCAGTATACTAGGAATTGACACTGCTAATGCTAATTGCTTTACAGATAATCCTCATCGAATTCACTGGAGACTTTACCACAACTGTGAGACTTAATTGGAAACAATGGCTTATATGTATTGGCATTGGCATTGTCAGGTTAGTTCAATCACCAGTTTTTGTAGGATGAGATATATTTTCATCTTGTCAAACTGTGTACCTTGAATCTGCCCTTTTTTCCTTGTGGTTTTGGTTTGATGCTTTCTTCGCACATTTACCATTTAATTAAATGGTCTGAGTTAGGTTGATTTGGACGTTTTCCTCTTCATTACTACGGTTATTCTTGTGGATGCAAATTACTTGGCAAGTCATAAAAAAGCTTCCAACGCTTTGCAAGTAGTGCTTTCTTGAGGCATACACTACTACTGTGTGCAATCATCCCTTCTCATCCTGACTACTGTTCTTTTTACAGCTGGCCCCTCGCTGCTGTTGGAAAACTCCTTCCAGTACCGAAGACTCCACTATCCGTGTACTTTAGAAAGCCATTTCGACGATTCAGAACTCTTTGGAATGCATAAATGTTCCAATTGGGGCAGGCATTAAACTGATATCTTGACACAAGGCAGCCAGTTCATGGAAGGTATCCTGATGCTTTTTGTGCATAACTGCATATAGCTGATATAGCAAAAAACTACGCTAACCACCGATATGGTAGTAAGATGATTTTTCAGTAATTGTATAAAACATCTGTAAACATTTGAGTTTTATCCCCTGCTGATTTGAATTGTAAATTAAGATATAAAGAATTAGATTTGCCTTTTTGGTTGGAACTTCTTTTACTAGATTTTTGAACATGATAATAGAACATCGACGAAAATTCTTATGTGTTTTTGCATGTCCTTTCCAAACCAGGACTGACCTTGTCATTCTGTCTGTAATGTGCCAATTGTGGTATGATAACATGGCTAGATGTAAGCATACGTCGTTTGTCAGGAAGGATGGATGAAGTAATGAAGAGGAGAAAAAGATGAATGGGCAATTATTATTTACCGTCCATTTAGTCGTTTGGCTAAACCGAAGAGAAACGATGAAGAGGCAATCCATCTAAATTAATAGCATTAAAAATTATAAACGAGGAAAGGATTAATACATCCAAATTGGAAGGGTTAAAAATTATAAATGATAGGATTGGAAAATCAGATCCATCTTTGGGATCCTTCGCTCTCATCAGTCTTCCCGTCGTCTATTGTTTTTTCAATCTTTCTTGACAGACATATCCTAAAGTACCAATTGCATGAATATATTAGGAGTAATATTCTAATTTTACCGAAGATTTTGAAAAATCTCATGCATCGAATGATGGATTCGATAAGTTGAGATTTTTCGAGAAATGATTTCAGAAAGAATTTCTGGTAAAAGGAGTAATATTCTAGTTTTACCGAAGATTTTTGTCGAAATCACTAGAAAAATCTCATACATTAAATAAGTGAGTTCCACAAGTGGATTCTGTAAATCAATGGTTGAAATTCTTCAATAAACGATTTAAGAAGGATTTTTTTGGGTAAAATTATGTAATTATCATAACAATTAAAAACAAAATCCACTGGGGGAGATCGAAACAAGACAATTATATAAATGAGCAATGCAAGTCTTTTCTCCTACCCATCATTTCTCTTAGCATAATTATAGGTATTTAATTACTCCAAAACGAAAGTCGTTAGAAGTGGGATTTTTGGTGATCATTTCCTTGTATTACCAGTTGATCCAAATTCAAAAGGTCTTGTTGACTTGAATTGAGCCATAGAAGTTCATCTTGTTGCTGCTCGCTTGTTTTCTCTCCAATTTCTTGCTGTAATTGTTGCTGAGCATTGTGAACTGCTAATTCACCCTTTATCTTCACTAATTCAGATTGAACATCAATTATTTGTTGCTGCAACTGAGATATCACCCCAACACATCCATAAACTGGGTCTCTTACACGTGATGCTGCCTCAATTGACATGCATTCTGCTGCATCATAACGTAAATGCCCTGGAAGTTGCTGCATTCCACACCAATCAAAATGTTATAAAAGAATACATATCATCTTGGTCACTATTATTTATCAATTGTGACTAAATATTTAGACTACGAGTAATGCTAATGATCCTAAAATATTCATCCCAAATGAGCATAATCGGTTTGTCATGATAGACGCTGAATATGGTTCGGAATGAATATTTTATGATGAATAGTGGATTCAAGCATAAAATAGTCATCCCAAATGAACATAATCGTTGTGTCATGACATGCTAAATATCTTTCAGAATGGATATTTCGTGATGAATAGTGGATTCAAGGTAAAATATTCATAAAAAAATGAGCATAATCGATGTGTCTTGATAGACGTTAAATATTGTTTAGAATGGATATTAAGTCATGAATAGTGGATTCAAGCTAAAATGTTCATATCAAATGAGCATAATAAGTGTGTCATGACAAAAGTTAAATTCCTTTTAGAATGAATATTTTGTCATAAGTAGTGGACTCAAGCTATAACATTCATCCCAAATGAGAATATTGTCATAAATAGTGGACTCAAATTAAAATATTCATCCCGAATGAGAATATTCAGTGTTATAATAAATGTTAAGTATTGTTTAGAATGGATTTTTTGTGATGAATGATGGGCTCAAGCTAAAAGAGATATTTTAATGTGTCATTACGGACGCTAAATGTTGTTTATGGTGATATTTTTATCATGAATGGTAGATTTGAGATAAAAGAAATGATGAATGGATGCTTAGTTGGGAGGGGAAAGCAATTTTACCGAGATGTACTTTTAGTTAATGAAATGATTTGAGTTTTGGTACGATTGGATTGACAATGAATGAGTTAGTGAGTGTGGAGATTTGGTTATAAATACCTTTAGCAATTCGGTAATTTTGCTGGCACCGAAGACTCTATGAACATTAGCAAATCTTTGGGGATTGGTTGGAGGAAAATATGGAGCCAAAACACAATCTTGACGACATCTTCTTCTCAAAAATTTGCAAGCTGCACATCTATTTGAATTGGACATTGTTGGATTCTTTAAGATCTGTTGGAATATTTTGTTTCAGAAAAAGAAAAGCTCTAAATCTTTTTGACTGATTCTTGAAAAGATTTTGTTTGCAATGTCTATATATATAGTGGAGTTGTTGATGGGCTTAGAGTTCTAAGCTGGGAAAGAGCTCAACGGCTACTACCTTTTCAAAATGCAATGAAAAATAAGGAAATTTTGTTAATTATGAGCAGAATTCCTTAAATCAGTTTTTTTCATTTTCAACGGCTTAGTGTGTAGAACGTTTTGATCATAAAATAAATCAAAAAATAGATTTTTATTCAGAAAAGAAATCTTATTAGAAATGTTTATGTGCAAGTTCATCCTTCATATACATATATATGTGTGTGTGTTTGCCTAAGAATAAATTTAATAACTGCTAACACATTCACGACATCATAAATATTGTGATCTATGATCGTAATTATTTTTACATCCACATCTGTGATTTAAAACTATTATAGAAAAGAATTCAATAGTGATCAAAATTGTTCTTTATCAACCAAAAACAAGAAAATCCATAAACGTTCTCCAATTCTGAAGCCTTCAGTGGGGTTTTTCCAACTTTGCACAAGGCACAACCAATGGAGGAAACCTGGCTTGTATTTCTTTCATCTGCTAACTTCTGTTACACGTGGGGAGAAAGTGCACGAAAACTGATTTGGTCTTTTGGTTACAATCCACACCTAATCCATCATTCAAGCAAATTACAGAACCACCTCATAAAATGCCAACTGATTTTACAATAAACAACTTATACTTCAAAGTCTTACAAAACATCGTACAAATTCTTGAACATTAAAACTCACAAAGCTACCTGTCCTATTTATATAGAACAATCTTTGAAAAAATCATATGAAACAGTAAGCTTCTATTTTGGGGTGCTTTCACTCCCAAATTGAAGTGTGCATGATGTAACTCGCATGTTCATCTGCTTACTACAAAAGCTTGACTGAGGCAATGGAGAAAGTAAGAACTATTATTGAAGGCTTCAACAAACGCTGTATGGTGCTCTCTTCGGGGTTTTTGGTATGGGTTACTAGCAAAAACAGGAATGTGCCATGTGGTTCTTCTTGGATATATAGGGGGAGAAATGGTCGGTGACAGAGGCAGAGGAGCCTGGAATGTCAGCCGGAACAAGTATTTGAGTCTTACCAGATGCTATTCTCTTACCAGCTACATTGGCATAGAATAGGCCAGAGATGGCTGGTACAAAGACATCGCTCTGAGAACACATGTAGAAGTCAATAACTTTCTCAAACTCTGAGTCTTCCGATTTGAGGAATTTTGCCTTTTTATCTGCAGGCATTATGCTTTCCTGCAAAAGTTTTCAGAGGTAAAGAATGATTTTAGACTAAATGGAAGAGAATAAATTAGAAGGGGAAACTGATGAAAAATGCTAACCTTTGTATAAGTTTTAGGGAATATATCCTTCAGAACATCAAGGCTTTCATCCCATCTTGGCTGTGTGAGGTAGATTGTGGTATCCTTGCCGAATCCAATCTTTCTCAAAAATATTGCAATCTCCCGTGCACTAAAACAACTCTTTGTTCCAGTTGCACCGCTTCCATGGCAACCTTTCTTTTCCAAAATCTCAACTCTCAAGTCCACTGCAATAAATCGTCCATCAGACTTGCGACTCAAAGTTTTTAGCCGCTCAATCATGGAGTCAACCACTTCATTAACCTCTGGCTGCAACTCTAAAGTTCCAAACATTGCCAAACATGCAACTGAATCGCTGGCGCTAGTTTTTGTGGACTTTCTCATATTTACTGAAGGGAAAAACGTAGCCAGTCTTATTTTACTGTTTGTTCTAAAGACTGGTTCGATTTGCTCAGCAATGTGATCTTCTGAAACTCGATTAGGGACCTTGACAACAGCAAAATCTCGAATTGATACATCATCGGGCAGACCTTTAACTACTTTGATCACCCCATCCAGGCTTTTCACAAATTTCTCAACATCATATATTTCTTCAAACTTCCTGTAAATTGTCAATTTTCTTAGCATGCACCCAAAAGCTTTCACTGAAGTTAATTCACTAACTGATCATATTTTGAAAATTACTGCAGAGAGCTTTTTTTTTTTTTTTGCTTTAATATAAGTAAACTAACACTCGACAATGATATTTTGAAAAAAAAAAAAACACAGGCCTATTCAGTTAGGTGTTGCAGAAAAGTTAATGTTAACGTGCCTTAGGAGGACTTACATAAGCCATCAAGGTTTAAAAATGAATATAATAAGATAAATATGAAACCGGAAACTATTTCATATGCAAGTGACAAAATGCAACTAATAGGCATGGTTTAAATTAGTAAGTTCGCAAAACATTTCCGCTAAAGAGATAGGTAAAGTTGTCATTTCTGTTATTGTTCCAGTGAAGAGAAAATCAAGCATACAACCAAGCATTTCCATTAGCAAATAATCTTGCATTACTCATATTTGCTCAGAATTAATTCACCGAGTGTGGAAAAAAGAACCACTACAGATTGCAGAACTCAGAAACAGCATAATGATGCAAGAACAAAAAGCACATAATCAAATGGCCTATGAAGGTGGGTTTAAAAAAAAAAAAATTAACGTTCATCACAAAACAAAATAGCAAAGCTAGATTCTTTTTGAGAATTTACCATCCAGATCTTGAAAAAAATTGATGACAGAAAAGGGGCAGCAACTTTACTATTAATGTGTTCCAATTAAACAAGGTATTGTCATGATCTTATTGTACGTTTATGTTCCAAGAAAACAAGGTGATTGGCATGAAAGTGACATGCTGCTAACCTTTCATCTCCTCGTTTGTTTCCCCTAATGTCAGGAAGTACAAGAGTTGCTCCAATATATCTTGCTACAACCACTGCATCAGCAATCTGGATAATGCAATCACCAGCAAAGACATGTAAATATTTAGAGGAGTAGAGCAAGAATGGAAAGCAGATATTACACTCATTTGATAACAATGAAGGCAGAATACTCCATAAATGGAAAGAAGGCTCAAATGGCTACTTAAGATACCTGCGAGACATGGTACTCGGGACCATTAGTTAATGAGAAAGTGACAAACCCTTTTGACTCTACCTCACCTGTTAAAATGGTGAGAATTCATGAGAAGTAGAAGGGAAACGTTATACAATAACGTGTAGTATATCTTTGAGTGCATTTATACGAATAAATAACACAAAAATCTCGGTACTTATTAAGTTCCGAAGTAAACCTACCAAAATTTGGCTCTTTCCAACAGGGTTTTAGCTCTTGGCTACCCTCCATCCATGGCCCATTTGTACTCTTTTTGGAAAATGCCACAAGACCATGCTCTGAAACCTTCTCACTATCAAACTCAACGTCCCTAGCTCCTGGAAATTTTCCCTTTACAAAACAAAAGACCAAAGATTGAAAAAGAGAATCATAAAGATCCACAGCAAATGATGATTGGATGCCAGGTTCCTTCATAAAGTGGCACATAGATAATGGCTTAAGTAAGAATTGGGAATTATTTGCTTTACTCCAATAGATAGTCATAAAGAACAAATATTGAAACTTCAAATATGAGAGGAAATTAAAAACAAACAAACAAACAGAACTTTTGAGAACCTAAACCACTAGAAAACGAAAAAGTAATTCAATTTCTTTGCTTCTTCTATATCATCAGTAGCCCAAAGAAGCAATAATGTTGATACCTCAGCTTAAATTTTAATCCCAATATGCAAGGAATGGAAAGGAAGAAGATAAAAGTCTCTAATTAAACAGATTAATACAACAGTGACAATACCTTAGAGATCCTACACAAATTGTAAAAAAGAACAAAAATTCAATGCAAAAGCAGCCAGAGACTATTGAGAATTTGACAAAGAGAGAAAAATTGAAGTACAAGCACCACAAAGCCACGGCATTTGGACCAAGAACATGTAGATCTTATTTCACTAAACCACAAGAACACTAATCATCAATATAACTTGAGCAAGAGAATGCAAAATGCGAATTGAAGTGAACTATCAAAAGGGCTTAAAGATCCAAACCCATAAAAAAAAAAAAACCCATCAAGAAACACAGCTTCAAATGAGAAAAAAAAAGGGGAACTTGAATGACCAAAAGATCACACACACACATAAAACAAAGTTCTATACAGACTTAAAATAAGGGCTAAAAGGGATTTACCTCAACAGAATCAAAATGGTCTCTCTTGATCATATTACCAAGCATCACGAACATAGTTAGTGTCAGTACCCCAGCAACAACTTGTCTCAAATCCACACCCATTTTTTGAACCTCTCTCTCCCTCTCTCTCTCTCTCTCACTCCAAGCGCTCTTAATGTGAATAAAGAGAGAGGCTTTATTTGAAACAAGCGAACTAGTTCCTTTTTTTAAGGTCTAATAATTATGGGGTTTGTCTGTTTTGTGATATTAAAGCATATTTGGTGCAGGTGGTGTAAATGAGAAGGCGGAGACAAGAAGCTGAAATGGAAAGTATAGCAAAAGCAGACAGTGAAGAGAGACAGACGGAGCAGATACACCACAAGCTATATACTTAGAAAATTTTCATGCGTCCATCTATAGAGTATTATACTCTCTCACCGACACTTTTCCTCAGAAAATGATGTGCTGCCTAAATTCCTCGCAAGTATTTATCACAATAAATTACATATTATTCCCTATAATTTATAAAATGAATAAAATTGTCCTTATTCTTCTAAAATTAATAATCAATCCTTTTACTAGTGTTGATTATAATTAATTTAATACTATTTTATTAAAAAAAGCATTTTTTACTCATCAATATAGAAATATATTTCTTAAAAAAAAGAAAAAAATATATTGAAAAGAAAAAATGATTAAGTTATAAGCTGATTTAAAAATAAAAGGATTAATTAATTAGTTTTTAAAACTAAAGAGACTATTTGATTATTTTTAAAAATAAAGGGACTAATTTATAATTTGCTCTATTTTATCTTGAACTGCCATTTTTGTGTTCTGAAGATTCAAAAGTGCTTAATTTTGCAAAAGGTTAACCCTCCCTTTGGCCTTTCTTCAGTGCCATTCTCGCATCACATCATTGATGAGTTGCAACTTGGAATCAAATTTGTAATTATTTCAATAATTTTTCATTTTACTATAAATAACCTAAAATGTGAGGAATTGAAGGATCAAGAAGGCTTCTCTCTCTCTCTTTTTTTTTTTTTTTTTTTTTTTTTGTTATTAGAATTCAAATCTCAAATCACATTTTCAAGAATAAATTTTCGTGTATCATGTGGACTATGACATGAATCATTATATTTATCATTATTAAAATAACTTACATAAATTTTTTTTATTATTATTATTATCAAGTGATAAGTGGTATTTTCGAACTAAGTTTTACAAACAAGTTGGTTAGAAATCAATTATTCGTATCATAATTCATGAAAATTTTATATTTTATAGTTTATTTTGAAATTTGAACCTCAACCATCAAATTTTGAATACAATTTTGTTTTTTTGACACGTTAGAATAATTTTGGTGTGACCATCAAATAAAACTTTAGTTTATAGTCAAGTTATAAATTCTTTCTTAAATCACCCTTATTGTTTATCCTTTATTTTTATTTTTTCTAAATTAGCATAATTCTATGCACGTATAACTTTCTTCCTAGTAATAAACAGAGTGCAGGTGTCATCATGAGTAAAATTATTGCTTATTTTCCCCTTTGGAAGCTATCGTGACTATTTGGTGTAGTGTCTAAAGGTTTTTTTTTTTTTTTTTTTCCCTTCCATCCCATCAATGTAGATTGGGGGCAGTTGAGTTATTTTTATCCAAAAGAAAAAGGAAATTCCATAAACCTGATTTCTCAAAACTTTATCGAAATTTTTTTAATAATTTTGATATGCAAAATTAATTTAGAAATGCTTTAATTGTTAAAACAAAACAAAAAAAATCATCATTTTAATTATAGATGAACTAGCATTAGTTTTTTAGTTCATTAAAAGATTAATTGGGATTTAACTACACAATAATAATGTAGCTCTCTTTTATTTTATAATAGTAGTCAGATAAACTCGAAATCACTAAAATTTGAACATGTTTTAGTAGAAAAAATTATTGGATATAATACAGTTACTAAATTTAACTTTACTTTTTTTAAATAAATAAATAAATAAATCTTTGAAGTTCGATATTGTAAAGCATAAATAAATCGAAGATGGTAAAGATAAGTCATGGATTAAAGAAAGAATTTGCTTGCTAAATATTGTGTGTAATTATTCTGAAAAAAATAGTGTAAAAATTTATAGCGGAAAATCATACAAGAAAGTTCTGGTAGAATGGTCAAAACATTGTTTTTAACTCACAAAATAAAAAATTCGATCCTCATTTGTAGAAAACTCTTCCCTATCTTTTATGGAAAAATTTTATAATACACTAGGAGTGACTAGTGACATGTACAATAGTTACTCTATGAGCTCACTTTGAAGAGAGAGATAGTTACATAAAAAAATAATAAAATTACATTCATGTCCATCAAAAGTGATAAGAAGATTTTCACGTCCGTTCAAATTTTTTATTCTCTCTCTTGTTTTTTTTTTTTTTTTTTGTGTTTATTTATCTCTTCAAAGTGGGCTATGTCACTAATTACTCTTAGTGTATTATAAAATTATTCATTTTTTATGTAGGTAAAATAAAAAAATTTATATTTTGTAATTGATAAAAAATTAAATACGATGTACATAACTTCTATTGATACGAAAATTAATATATATATATATATATATATATATATATATATATATATATATATATATATATAAAAGAAGTCTATGACAAGACATTTTCCTGATTAAAGGTATATAATAGAAACAAAAGGGAGAATTAATGGAACATTTATCGCCTTAAATCTGCAACGGCAGCATTTAGAAACTGGCGTGATCCAAGGAAAGTAGAAATTAAAGTCACGAAATCTGATAAAGACTAAACACACACACTGACAGTTGCTGAGTCAACTAACGTGATTTTTTTAATTATTTTTTTATTAACTTGGATTCAGGAACACAGCCATTTTTTTATTTTATAAAGAACGAAACCGGCAGTGCATGCTGAATGAAAGATACTGTGTGATGATAGAGATGTACTTTGCATGTTAGTCAAAGTTAAAACGGGGTTAGTGGTCCAAATTTTTTAAAAATGCATCAAAAGTTATCGATATTTTGTTTTTTCTTTCAAAACTTATTTTTAATATATTTTTTTAATTATTTAATCATTTACTTCTGAGTATTTATAAAAAAAACAAAAACATTATAAATTTTGATATATTTTCAACTGCTGAAAAATTACACATATTTTATAATTGACAAAATTTTACCATAAAAATCCAAATTTAAATAAAAATAATTAAAAAATTAAAAATTAAAAATCAAATTCCCAAATATATATATATATAAACAATTGAATTGTTGTCCTTAAAATGGTGTTATTGGATTGGATAAGACAAAATAAATGGTTTCCTTGTGTGAATCCTATTCTTAAAAAGATAGATTCTGATAATAATTAAAATAAATTTGAATGGTTAGGAAGGTGGGATTTTTTTTTAATGTTAACTTGATAGGTTTTATAATCATGAGTTTAGTTGTGTTCGAGTGTTTTATTAAAAAGTTAAGTTTGAATAAATCTAGGTGTGGATAGAACAAGACCGTTCAACCTCTTCCACGTGTTGTTGGTCAATGGTTCTACAGTCATGCAATTGTTCAAGACCTTTTTCAACTAACAATTTTTTTTATTTAAAAAAAAAAGTATTCTTTTTTAATCAAGTAAAATAAAAATAATTGCACACTTTTAGCACAAATCTAAACTTTAACAAAAAATCCAAGCTAGCATTACAAAATAGACTTGATTTTGATTTTGATTTTTTTTTTTTAAATCTCATGCTTGAATTATTAAAAATCATTATAGATAAATATGTTAATATATCCACCACGTCACCTTTTATTATTCCAAATATTATTTTTTAAATTTTACTAAAATTTTAAAAGTGGTCCATATATCACTATCTTTAAAACAATCAAATTCAATTCACGTAGAAAAATCATAACATGTTGCTTGAAAAACAAGATGACAAGTTCCTCCATAATAATGATGAGGGGAAAAAAAAAACTTCCACGTGACACTTAAATGTTTTCATGGACATTCAAAAGCAAATTCACTAGATTTCTCCATCAAGAATTTTCTAATTCAAGAGTTTATATCATAAGGTACGTACACTAGACCGAAAGACCGATTTTTTTTTCTATTTTAAGCTACATTAGGAATTTTTTGTTTTTATACCTACACACGAGTAAATTATAAATTAGCTTTTTTAGTCTCGAGAGCTGAATTAACTAATTAATTAATTTTATTTTAAAAACTAATAATTTATTTTTTTCATCTATTTTATGTTTTTTTTCTAATTTAATTTATTTAAAAAAATTAAATAGATATTATGAAAAAATTGAAGAGAAAAAACAAATTTTAAATAAATTAATATTAAATTATGTATTCAATACTGGTTAAAAAGCAAAATAATTAAATTTTAAAATAAAAAATTTATTTATTTATTTTTTGAGACTAGAGAGATTAATTTATAATTTTCTCAGTAAACACTGCTAAATAAATTGAAGAAACTTTCCTTAGGATTTTGAAAACAATCATGGACCTCTGAATTAATTGGCATGATGATGGAATGATACTTCTGACAATTTCCGTGTGACGAAAAGGGCCCATTTATATCTCGTTCAAAACTGGAAAAAAAGAATTAACGGGTCCATTAGTATTGGGCCAACTCACAGGCCATGATTTTTGGGCACGTGTCCTATGATGTCTTCTCACTGCCAAGATTTGGTTAGGGCCCAGACTGCCATTATAGATTTGTCATGTTTTGGTCTAAATTTTTGCGATGCATTAAAGTAGGATTTGCTCTTCCTCAGCATGGTTGAGATGGACCATAGACTCTTCGGCCTCATTTCAGCAGCTTCTTTGTTTTGGATCTTTTGGTCCCATTCAACGACAATCACAGGGACTCAATTAGAAACTGATTTTCAAATAATTTAAAATTCATAATAAACCGTTGAGTGAAAAATAAATATTGATGTATTAGTTTTACAAGCATATATAAAAGAGAAAAAGTTTTTACACTTGAAAGAAAGCACATACTTGTAATAGGAAAAAAAAAAACACATGAATATATGTAGAAAAGATATCAAGCAACATTTCTGATACTCGAATTATCATTTTTTAATCATAAACTGACATTTCTGATTATAGGAATTAATATTGTTTTTTAATCACGTAAAATATAGATAATTGCACATTTTTAGCAAAAATTTAAATTTTAACAAAAAATCTCCAAGCTAGCATTACAAAATGGACCACAGTTTTTTTTTTTTAATCTAATAATCAAATTATTAAAAATCATTAATTCTGAATCTTAATTGATATGATATTAATGATAGATCTCTACCAGTTGAAGAAATCATTGATTTGTTTTATCTGTTATTAGAAAAATTCTCTATGATTGGAATTGATAATATTTTTTCTTGTCATTATAAGGGTTGCACTTTCTACTTTGGAAAGTCACTAGTTCAGAGGTGTCAGAGTTTGATTTTTTCTGAGGATATCAAAATTTGGTTAAAGCAAAAATCTAAATCACCTGATTGAAGGAACTGGCAGCTGGCTGTTGGCTTGCTTGATGATTGAGGCTTTCCCTGAAGAAGCTCTGAACTCAGTCCAGCACTTGAATGGGTCTGTTGATGAAATGGAGGCATACAGGGTGCTTGTGTTTTCTTGTTAAGGTACCTAGAAAAACAAAATGGACGAGGTTGTTGTTAGCTTTGCTGTTGAGAAGATGTCGAGCATGATGAGTTCACTTGCCAATGAAGGGATCAGTCTTGTTTGGGGATTCAAGGGAGAGCTTAAGCAGCTGGAGAAATCATTAAACACGATTCAGAATGCGTTACATGATGCTGAGCAGAAGCAAGTAGCTGAGGAGTCTGTGAGGCGGTGGCTGGAAAGCCTTCAAGATATTGGTCTTGATTATGGTTATCCTCCCATCCATTTGCTTGATCCTTTGGTGAGATCTCACTTGCTAGCATTTCTTGTAATCCACTTCGTTGGTGATGATATTTGTATTGTGAGCCAAGGAAATTGATTTCATCATGAATTTGTAGATGTAGCAGGCTCTAGTTATCAAGAGCAGACCTTACTTTGTGTTACGTTTAGCAGTAACAGACCTGGTGATGGGCCTTGCAAAAGGTGGAATATAATCTGACTTGGGATTGGTTTTCTCGTTTCTACCTATTGTGAATTGAAACAGGGGAAGAATGTGAATAAAGATGAGTTAGGTTTGCTTCGAGGAAAACCTGAACCTCTAGAACACAGTCAAGCGTGTCATTCAACTCTGCTTTGTTCTCATGAGAACTTACAAATAATTAGACAAAAACTTAGCAACTTATTCCTAAACTCCAGCAATTACTTAACAATAAATCCCTTACTAATCCCAGCAACTAATTCTAGAAACATGAAATAGTTTGAACAATTCAAATTCTAACAGCTCTTTGAGACTAATTTAGAGCCCTTACTTTATTGCGAAATCTTAACAGAAAGTAAAAGAATTGGTCTTTTTGGACATAACATATCTTCCCCCTAGGAAGCCCCATTGTCCTCAAGGGTCTCATCAGGAAACCATAGCTGGAGTTCATCATAATCTTGCCATGTTGCATCTGTTGGTGACAATCCCTACCAATGAACAAGAACTTGCTTCCATCATTTTCACCAATGATGGTCTAGAACCGCTTGGGGTAGATGGCTGATCGTGTCTCCCTTCCCTAGAATCACTTGTAAAAAATCTTGAATTGTTTCATTTTCACCAACCTTCTTCTTGAGCAATGAGACATGGAATACTGGGTGAAGTTTGGAACTTTCAAGTAGCTTCAGCTTGTATGCAACTGCGCCTATCTTTCCAATAATCTCAAATGGACCATAGTACTTAGGGGCTAATTTGAGGTTTCTTCGAATAGCCAACGATGCTTATCTATATGATTGTAATTTTAAAAAAAACTGAATCTCCCACTTTAAAGCTTATATCAGTTCTGTAGGCATCATAGTACTTCTTTATACATTGTTGAGCCATGTTTTACTAATCCCGTAGCTTCTTTAGAACCTGCTCTTGCCCTTGTAATTCTTCATCTACAGATTTCAGAAGTTCCTGGAACATATGATAATAATGTTGATGGAGGCTTCCCATACACAATCTCATAAGAAGTATTCTTTACAGAAGTACGAGTACTTGTATTGTAACAGTACTCAACCCAAGCAATCCATCGTATTCATTCCCTTGGCCTATGACTTGTGAAACATCGTCGGTACATCTCAACTGTCTTATTTACCACTTTAGTTTGGCCATCCGTTTTAGGATGGTCGGCTGAGCTGAAATTGAAACTAGTTCCCTATAGATTGAAGAGTTTCTTCTAGAAAATACTAGTGAAAGTCAGGTCTCCATCAAACACAATGCTTGTAGACATCTTATACAATTTAAAAATCTGATTGAAAAAGACTTAAGCCACAATAACTGCTGAATATAGGGGAGACACAGGTATACAATGAGCAAACTTAGAAAGCCTACCAACTACCATAAAAATTAATGTCTTACCTTTAGAAACTGGGAGGCCTTCCATAAAATCCATGGATATATCAATCCAAACTTCAATTGGTATTAGGAGGGGCTGTAAGTAACCAGCGGAGCTGCTAGTGTCAACTTGATGTCTTTGATAAATTTCACAATTTCAGATGAATTCAAGAATGGTTTTCCTCATGTTCGGCTAATAAAGAACTGACTTGATCCTCTGTAAGGTTCATACTGCCCTTGGTGAGTTCAAAATGTCAAAAGAGCTCTGGTGAGATCAAAAGGCATCACCAAAAATTCATACTGCCCTTGGTGAGTTCAAAATGTAGTACTCTTGGATATGTCGGCAAAGAGCATTCGAATTTGATGATAACCAAACCGTAAGTCAAGCTTAGTAACGTATGGGTGCTCTTTGTAATTCGTCCAGTAGCTCATTAATGATAGGAATGAGAAATTTACTTTGTATGGTGATTTGGTTTAAGGCTCGATAGTCAATACAAAATCTCCATGACCCATCCTGTTTTTTAACTAGCAAGATTGGTGAGGAGTATGGACTTTGGCTAGGTCTGATCACACCCGTAATTAGCATGTCTGGCACCAATCTTTCTATCTCATTTTTTTGAAACTGGGGATACCTATAAGGCCTTACAGCAACAGGTTGGCTTCTAAGTTTAAGAACTATTTTATGGTCTTGGGTTCGAGGTGGGGGCAGTCCATGCAAACGAGATCATCTCTACACACCAATGCTTTTCTTTCTTCTTCATCCTTTCCCTGAAAAAAAAAATCCTCTCATAGAAAGTTGTCTGCCAGGTATTTTCCTCTTTCTATTAAAGTCCATTCTCTTTATAATTATGTGGATTTTGCTTTTAATTTACTAATCGGCTGGTTTATATAGTGGTAGCCAAAAAAGCATTCAAGGGAATGAGGAAAAGATCCCCTCTTTGTAGCAAAAAATGCAGCTGACCCTGTTCAACCTTGGTATTGCAGGTGGATGGGCTTGTCAACCCTTCCTTCCCATCCCCTGAAGGTGATGCGTCGTGATCTTCCAGCAGATACACCACATGCTGTAAAAGAAACCTACGCAGCAGCGCATGGTAAGTATGATATTAATCATATATGGGATGTTGACTGTAGAACGGAAAGTAGAGCATAATTTCTATTGAGATTACAGAACTAAAGCAGGATTTGCAGTATGAATATTTTTTCCTCTGGATAATCTTTCCTCAGTTGGAGACAATACAGTGAAATAGACTTGACAAAGTTGAATTCCAAAATTTAAGTTATTGATTCATTTTTGGAGAATTACGCTCACTAACCTTACAAATGCAATGTTTACATATGGTGTTGAATATTACTTTTTCCCTTACATCTAAAATAGAAACTCAATAAGTTTGTCATCAAGCATGATTAATTGATATGATATTAATGATAGATCTCTACCAGTTGAAGAAATCATTGATTTGTTTTATCTGTTATTAGAAAAATTCTCTATGATTGGAATTGATAATATTTTTTCTTGTCATTATAAGGGTTGCACTTTCTACTTTGGAAAGTCACTAGTTCAGAGGTGTCAGAGTTTTATTTTTTCTGAGGATATCAAAATTTGGTTAAAGCAAAAATCTAAATCACCTGATTGAAGGAACTGGCAGCTGGCTGTTGGCTTGCTTGATGATTGAGGCTTTCCCTGAAGAAGCTCTGAACTCAGTCCAGCACTTGAATGGGTCTGTTGATGAAATGGAGGCATACAGGGGGCATCAACTCAATACCATACCACACTTTTAGTCAGCTGGACAACATAAATGGTAGAGACTGAGATTGCCAAGACAGAAATTTGGGTTTATTTCAATTCGAAGGATTCATGGAGCGACTTGGTGTCTGCTAGGGGTAATTTCAATAAGTTGTTTCTGACTGTGCAAGCTTTGGTTTGATTGGTTTTGATTATGGTTATCTTCCCCTCCACTTGCTTGATCATGGTTGTTCCTTTGGTGAGATCTCACTAGCTGGTGTTTCTTGTAATCCACCTTGTTGGTGATGATATTTGTACTGTGAGCCAAGGAAATTGGTTTCATCATGTGTTTGTCGACGTAGCAGGCTCTAGTTAATGATTCTATATAAAAAAAAAAAAAAAAACCATTATTATGGAGAAAAGTTTTATTTTGAGTAAATAGTAAATAATGAAAAAATAAAAGCATAAAAAAAGAAAAAAAGAAAAGGTTGGGCTGGGCTCACACTGTGCCCGTATGGATCTGGAGACAACCAGGGCCACGTGGCTGCACTAGAAGCACGACTCAGCCATAAAAAATACAAAGATTTTTTTTTGTAACAATAATTGAAATTAGAGATCATTTGTATAAAATAATAACTTGATGGATCAAAGTGTAAACATGAATAAAATGACAAAAAAATCCTTTTTTTTTTTTTTGGGAAAACAACTTCATTTCAAGCTAAAAAGATACAAATTGATAACGTTTTAGTTCACTGTAGCATGATTTAACTACAATAAAATCATATATCCTTTTAGTATATTTATAACATGTTCTGAACTCAAAATCCCAACCTATGATAAAAAAAATTGAAAAGCTGATTATTTTCTTCAAAACCAAACTAAACTACATAATTCGTGTGCTTGAAGAACCGTTTGCTCTAAAATGGATTGGTCACATGTGTTTAAAAACAATAGTTAAAATGAAAGAATTCATAAATAATATAATGCTACCAATAAAATTATTATACTAAAAGTTAGTATTGTCCTAAGTAAAACATGAAAAAAATATATCAATTAATTGTAATTTTTAGTTTGTAGTAATTCTCTAATATATCAATTATTTTCGTTATAATTAATATTATTTTTAAAACAAAGAAACAAAATTTATTGAAAAGAAAAAAAAAGAATTAAGTTATGAGCTGATTTAAAAATATAAAAATTAATTAATTAGTTTTGAAAACTAAAGAGACTATTTGATTCGTTTTGAAAAATAAAGGAACTAATTTATAATTTACTCTATTTTATCTTAAACTGCTATTTTTGTGTTTTTATAACTAAACATGAGTAAATTATAAATTAGTTTCTTTAGTTTTGAAAACCAAATTTATTTATTTATTTTATTTTAAAAATTAAAAATTTAGTTTTTCATCTATTTTATG